GAAGAAATATATAAGTATTTATATGCATAACTGAATCGCTTTGCTGTATGTGCGAAACTGTTACCGAGTCCAAGCTCTGCTCACTTCACGACAGGCCAATAAATCAAAAGATGAGGTGTTGGGGCAAAGAATGTCAACTTTATTTGGAAAGCCAGCCGACTGAGAGGATGGCCGACTAATGCCTTGGAGAACCATCCTCCCCTAGTCAGAATACAGGCTCATTCTATACCAAAAAAAAAAAAAAAAAAAAAGTGTGGGGTGCGTGTTAGTTTTTGTAAACTTCTTGCTGTAGGAGTTCTTTGCTCCTGCAGCTGTCCACTTGCGCCAGGTCATGGTGCTCCTGCAAAACCTCCAACAAAACAAATGTTACTTTCTAGCCTGCAGCTTGTTCCCGGAATGCAGAAGCCTTAAAGGCCAGGGCCCGAGAACAGGCTCTCCTGTCTATCTCAGGCTAAAGGCAACATTGTTTCCCAAAAGGTGCAGAGCCGGCAAGGCTAAGCCTGGAAAACAGGGCCCAGGGTTAAAGGAAAAGGAACAGACCTAACGTGGAGTCAGATTTGTTCTTTTCTATTACATCACCAGTATTTATTATTGTCATTATTTTTTAAACTGTGCATGAAAAGATGCTCAACTTCGCTAATAATTAGAGAAATGCAAATCCAGCCAACAATGTATTGAAAAATCCAAAGTAATCAAAAGCGGAGCACAGGACAGTGAACCCTCTGTGCCCATCTGCTCCAAGGATCACGAACTCCTGCCACTCTTGTTGGACAGATACTCAACATCCCTGCTCCTATGCGATTCTGGGGGTTTTTTGAGTTGGGGGGAATGAGGCTTATTTATTTTAATGGAGATACTGGAAACTGAAGCCAGGACCTTGTGTAGGCAAGGCACGCTCTCTACCACTGAGCTGTACCGTCTCCCCCTCCCCAAGCTTTTCTGACACACATCCAGGGCATAATTTCTGCCCTAAATACTTCAGTGATTCAATACTCAGTTAACTATATTAAATTACCCATTATCCGAATGAACATCACTAAACTCAAAACAAAACACCTTGAGCCCTCTGGCCACACAGATGTGCCTCCCCACCCTGGTCAGAGGACACTGGTTCACCTTTCATGTGGACTGTTAGCAAGATATTCTGGAAAGGGGCTGCGTGCATCAGGTCACATACTTCTAAAGACCAGAACAAAGAGAAAAGGTCACATGAGGTAGTTTATCTCACAGCAAAGATGGACAAAGAAATCAGTGCTGAAAACAAGGCACAACTTTGTCACTTAGTGAAAAATAAATGGAGTCTCGGGGCTGGTGGAAATGTTCTCTGCTGTCCACCGAGGTAGCTGCCGGCCACCTGTGGTGATCAAGTCCTTGGAATGTGGCTGAGGAACTGAATTTTCAGTTTACTTTCTTTTGACTGATTTCAATGTGGACACGCACAAACCCAGCCTTGAACGTGGCCTTTGCTTTCCAGCACTGATGGCCTGACAGCCGTCCCTGCACAGGC